CCGTCTGGTACCGTCCGTCTGGTACCGGTCCGTCTGGTACCGTCCGTCTGGTACCGGTCCGTCAAAGCGACCAGAACCCAGCGCAATCATTGACAGAACGGCTTCAGCATGCTCTGGTTACCTAGCAACCCCACAGGAGCTCCGCCGTTACCTAGCAACCACACAGGAGCTCCGCCCGTTACCTAGCAACCCCACAGGAGCTCCGCCCGTTACCTAGCAACCCCACAGGAGCTCCGTCCGTTACCTAGCAACCCACAGGAGCTCCGCTGATTTGAGTTGAGGAAACGATGGGAAATGTTTTCTCTTGGTAGAGTTCTCCTCACTACATTTTAATTTTTGCACAAACTGAAGAGACTGCTTGATGTCATTTGGAGGTAAATGGATAAAACTGCTTTGATTTGATTGATAAAATAATGTTTAAACTCTCAATTTATCTTGAAGGTTCCACTGGAGTCTTGAGGGCCACATTAAAACCTCTGCTGGGCCAGATTTGGCCCCAGGCCTCATGTTTGACACCCTGCTCCATAGGGATCAGCCAGTTTATCCTGAACCGACCCAGTTGACCTGGAAGAGAAACCGAAACAGGAACAGAATAAAACCAGAGAGGCAAAACATTATGACCACCTTTGTGTGAAAGGATCCAAACAGGCGATCTGTTGGATCAGGTCTAGTTTAGTTATTTGTCACTTGGTGAGTGTTTCCTGTTCCAGTCAGTCCTAGTGGAACCACTGGGTTTGGATCTGAACACCAGAACCCAACAGAATGAGAGTCTGTGGCTGATAATGAGCTGAAACATGAAGGACCAACATGAAGCCCTGCAGAAACTAAATCAGCTCATGGACTGAGACATCAGACACTAAAAGCAGAGAAGGAGATTTCCTTCAGGGTTAGGGGTAAGGTCAGGTCTCTGGTCCAGGACTCTGTCACCGGAGCTCCGGCCCACGATAGAGGAGCTTCTGCTGGATGGAGGAGCCAAAACTCACATCAGGAAGAGTCTCTGGCTCTGCAGAACGCTGCTGCCAGAGACTCTGCTGCTTGGGTTGGGAAAGTGTTAGCAGATGTCGCCAGAGGAGGCCAGCACCACCATGCCGGCCCACCGGCCCCCACCGGCCCCCACCGGCCTCGGCTTGGAGAGCCCAGCGGAGAAGTGGACGGTTTGTTTTCCACCAGGCTTACATGAAGAGAAGCTGAGAGGAAAAACGCAACCAGGTTCCATCAGGAGAATCAGAACGAGCTGCTAACAACCGACATAAATCAGAGGAACTGCAGGGTCCAAGGAAATTCCCCAGAAAACCAGAGTCTTCAGTCTGAGGCCGGGTTCTGACCCGCTGGTGGGTCAAAGCAATAAAACTGAGCTGGAGCAAAGAGCCGGGCTCAGGAACGAGTCCAACTAAAGAGAGACCAGCAGGGGGCGCAGTGAGATCAGGCAGTAACTGGAGCAACATGAAGAAAGTTAGCATGAAGTCCAGAGGGGAAGAGATCCTGGAGAACCAGAGTCGGACCAACGCCACATCTGGACCCCATGGAGGTGTCATCAGTTTGCTGCGGCTGAAATGATGACGGCAACACACTGTCTTCATTTATGATTCTTGATCTGGCAATATAAATGAATAAAATAAACATAGCCTCAGATTTGGAGCAACTTAACCAATTAGGACCAGACTATAACCAGTTCTGACCAGTTCTGACCAGGTTTAACCAATTCTGACCAGTTTTAAACAGTTTCTAGCCAGTTTCTGACCAGTTTATAACCAGTTTTATCCGGTTATGGCCAGTTTCCAACCAGTTCTGACCATGGACCTGCAGCAGAACCAGCTGCCCTGTACATGGCGGCCATGATGCTTCTGGACGTCCAGAGTTTTGTCTCTCAGGCTGTTTCTCATGAAGCTCAGAGGATCAGCTGCTGATCCTTCGGTCCTGGATGATGTAACGCTCTGAGGTTGTGAAACCGGACCAAGTTCTGTTCAGACGTCACCTGTTGAAGCAACGTGGCGTCAAACTGACACCTCACCCTCTGTCCCGCTCCTTCCAGCGCGAGCGGCACCATCTGCCTCCCATTAGAGGAAAGCGATTCTCGAAGCAGCAGCAGCAGCAGCAGCAGCAGAAGGGGAAAACCGTCTGAAGGTGGAGGTGGAGGCGTTACGTAACCGAGGCTAACAGAGTCTGACAGGACAGCTGGAGGCAACAATCAGGCCTGTGTTTCCCATTAAACTCCACAAATCCAGACCTTTTCCACACACAAACACTTGACTGAGCCGAAGTTCAGGTTGGCCTTCATCCTCCTCCTCCTCTTCCTCCAGGATGCTAACGCAGAGCAGGGCTAGCTGCTGAAACGTCTGCCTGCTCCTTTAAGGCCGTCAGGGTCAGAGGTCATCCAGGTTAAGAGCTGCAGCGCTCCTGATCCATCCCCATGACAACCTGCTCAGGGCCCCGGAAAGGCTTCGGCCCTGCAGCTTTGATGATGACCTTCCCTCTGATCTTCACACTTATTTTTCTGAACACATTTAGGAGAGTAGTTTCTGTTTCATGACAAGATGCCACGCCCCTAACTGATGCAATGCATCATGGGTTGTGAGACTGAGGAGGAGAAAAAAACTGAATGAACTGAGTTTGATGAAATGATGAGAGTCTGGTTAGAAATACAGGAGGAAGATGAAGGTTGGGTTGTTTGGACCAGAATGGTTCTGTTGGTCCTGAAACATTCAGGCCCGAGTCGCGTTTCTTCCCGATTCACTAAAACAACCGACTGATCCCGGCTGGTTCTGATCAAGCAGTTCTGAAACAGAACCAGAACGGATCCTGGACCAGATCCCAGACCCGTTCAGTCTCAGGGTCACCAAGGTCTCACGTGCAACAATGTCAACATATTCTGCTTTTATTTTGTCTGCTTGCGCCGCTCTGTCTCCTCTGTTTCCAAAATAAAAGCCTCTAGAGGCGGCGGCTCCTAAGAGTTCAAATTCAGTCCGAAACCAAAGCTGAGGGAACGAGGGGAACCTTCAACACGACCTTCCTCTCAATGATGAATATTTAGAGGAATGAAATGAGTGAAGCAGGTTGAATGATGAATGAATGAATGAATAATGTTCACATCATTAACCTGGCATGTTCCTTCACACATAAAAAATCAGAAAATAAAGAACAAATTACTGAAAAATTAATCAAATAAAGGATTCAGGCTTAGTTCCTTCAAAACAAATGACAAACTGTGTCACAGTTCTGCACCAGAAGAAGACAAAGCCGTAAATCTGGATGTAAATAATGGCTGCAGATTTCCTTCATCTTGTGACTTTGCTATCAGATCTCAAAAATGTTAAACTCGGCGGCCATTATTACTGCTGTGTGACGTTTTTGTTCTTCTTCTCTTCAGTGGCATTTAATTAGTGGATTGAACAGAAATAACTGCAGCAGAAATCAGTTCGATTCACATGTACTCACTGGTTCCAGTCTGGATGCGGGTCCAACCCGTCGCGTTACGCTGGATAAAACTCAGAACCGAACCTCCGGCTGCTGACTTTGGGTCTCAACATTCCTGCTGTCAGCAGCGATGACTGAGCGTCAACACGTCCTCCTCCAGGAGACCGTCTGTCCTCACTCTGCCTCGCTCTGTTTGACTTTTGTCTCTCTGGTGATGAAGGATGGGATTTACCAGCCGTCATCCTCACTGCTGTAGCCACGGCAGCCGATGAGAGACGACCGAGGGTCCCCGAGGACCACCGAGGACCAGAGACGGTCTCCAACCAGGAGACCTCACCTGGGGACAAACTTTTTAAAAACGTTAAAAGCATCGGGGGGAGTTTTCCCACCCCTCAAAACAAAACTGCACAATAATTTTACTGCTTTGTGTCTCCAAGCACTAAAGTCAAAGTGCATGAATTTACTGAAGCAAAGTGGAAAAGAACAAAATATTTCAGGTCTCAGTAATAAAAGAGTTCAGTTTCCAAACTTTCTGGACTGAATGTTTTCGACTTTGTTGGTGTAGACAACATTTTAATCGATTCTCTGTAACAAATAAAATAACTTTGTCGAAAAAACCTGGCAAATTCATCCATGATTGTTTTCAGTGAATAGTGGCTGGATGTTTGTCGCTACCAGGATATTAAAATGCAAACAAAACAAAACATGGCTGGTAAATGAAAGCGGTTTCAGTACCAAACACTCTTAAAAAGATTTAACTTCTTCCTTAAAAAAGATGGAACATATTCATCTGCAGCAGGGCCACACATAATTATTTCAAGGGCTGCAAATGGCCCCCGTGCCACACTTTGGACACCTTCAGGAACGTAACAAATGGCAACATTAATGTTGATAAACATGGAAAACAGACAAATTATGAGTATAAATATGCTTTTCTGACATTTTACATGAAACATACCTGAGAGGATTAACCAGTCACTTCAACATTCTTATTGATTACCTGTGATGTCATCAGGTTGTCACGGCGATGGCCAACATGTCCGCTCTGACAGCACAGTGTTTGACTTCAGTTTTTCCTCTTTAACAAACATGCAACATTTGACGAAGGGTGTGTAAAAAAAGTCAGCATTTTATTTTAAAAAGTGCGCCACCTCCCTCGCTTACGTTACAGCTTCAGACTAAAAATCAGACAAACCGCCATAAAAACACACAATACAAACCAAACCGACGGACAAGAGGGCCGAGAACGTTAAAACCATCAGAGGAAGGGAAAGAGACGGCTTTTTAAAACGTCAGGATAAACATTTAGGAGGGAAATCAAGATCAAACTTGTTCCTGGTCTCTATTAGCACATCTAAAAACAAGCTAGGCAGTTATGCTGCGTCAGCATTCAGGTCTGTATTTTCAGTAATTGGACACGACGTTCTGCAGATGAAGATTAGAAAATACTTTGTCATAAAACAGCATGGTGGGAAGATCAGAGAGCAAAAAACATAAATAAATGTCAAACAACGCGGCTGGTAGCTGGAGAGAAAGAAAGAAACAGAACCGGATCATGACCCTGAAGCTGTGACTGCTGAAAGCTGTGACTGCTGAAAGCAGAAAGTACCAGAGAGTCTCACTGAAACAACACATTATAATTTTCTCTGCTGGGTCACATCGTTTCATCAGAACCGGTGAATAACATCAAGTGGTTTGCACGTTTTGCAGGAGGCTGACATTAGAGCAACCTCAGCTTGATTCGACCCATGTTGTTGTGTTGTTGCTTTGTTTGCTCAGTAATCAGGTCCCAGAGTATCTCTAAAGAACTAAAAGTTGTCTCTTGTCCAAACCGTTTGTTCTACAAGATCCAGATGTTTCAGATCCACAAAATAAACACATTAATGAAACTGAAGGGAAAGGTTGGGGCTGCCTCGCTCTAATGAGAAGCAGCCAAAGTCTTAGAAAACACAAACTAGACACATTCATCATTTCATGGAGTCAGAGTTGAGCTCTACCTCTAATACAGAAATGTAAACATCAGTGAGGAGAAAGCAGTAGAAAAAGCAGGAGGTTGATGAAGTGTGGTGCTGTGGATTTATGTCAAAGTTGCTTGTGATCAAGGGCTCTGTTTGCATCACATCCCAGAAGAGCTAACAGAACAGTGAAGGCACCAGAGGGAGAGACGCTGCCGGTCACCGACGTCCAGGTTACACCAGAGACCACCAGGAGGTCAGGATGCAACCAGAAACCCTTCGATCCAAGCTGGAGATGAAGTCTGGCAGAATGTGTAAGACAGAGGTAATGTCCAGCGATCAAAGATCAGAAATCAAAGTGTTCCTTCAAAACGAGACGTCAGGATACAAAACACAGAACGGAATCAAAAATCAAGTTCACTTCAGGGCGAAAACATAAACTCCAACATCTGTCAGCATCTGGTCACCTTCAGCCCAACGAACAGCAGCATCATGGTAGACTGGTCTTCCTCCTCCAGTTAAAGATGTAGACTGGTTTCTGTGGAGAAACAACAGGTCAAAGTTCAAGCAGTGGTTCTCAAGCCTTAATGTTCCCGAAGCTAAAAGTTCACTCTGCTAGCTACTAGTGCATGACATAACCACAGGAGGTCACTGATGATCGCTAAGAGTTTAAAGCTGAGCAGAGCTGTTCTATCTAGAGTCTGCTGAGGCTTCTGGGTAGTGTAGTGCATCATGAAGGAATCCTGCTCAAACAGTGATGAGTCTGGTTGTACCTGGAGGTCTGCGGCTGCCTGGACGCTACGTTGTGGAGCTTCCTCTCCTCTCCAGGAATCTGGTTCAGGAAGAACAAGTTAGTTTATGTTCAGGCTGAACGTGAACAGAGCTGTGAGGTGAACAACAACTTGTTTGGTCTTTAGATTCCTTTTGTTTCATTTCATAGGGGAAATTCTAAATATCTGAGGATTTAGCAAGATTCAAACCAACATGGTAAATATTTGAGAAGCAGTTCCAGATCAGCGTTCAATAAACGGATAAAGAAAAAGTAAGAGCACTCACACTTGCGTTTGCCGGACAAAGTCTGCAAAGCGCTGATCTCTGGAGCACAACTCGATTATTCTGAGACGCTCCTGGATCTCCTGTGGAGAGGTCAGAGGTCAGTGCACAGAGATCAAGTTTATGTAAGAGCGCAGTAGGAGAAGTAAAAATACTTGTCTACATAGTACAAACATCCTGCTGAGTTGAAAACGCCTGAGCCAAAGAAATGTCACAACATGGTGTGAGCTCGGCCTGAAGAGTCCAGATCACCGGCAAGAAGTAAGACGGTGAAGCCAGAGGAGAAAGTCGCCCGGTAATCAGGAGCTCTGAGCCGCTAACACGACTAGCTTCAGAGACGACGAGACGCCGACGCCACAGAGATCCATCAATACAACCACCTCACCTCTTTGGAGAGAGCCGTGTTCTGGCAGATGTTCTGTATTTCTTCACTGGTCAGTTCTTTAGAGCAGCACTGGTTCAGGGTGGAGTCGCAGCACTGGTGGTACTGGGGCAGGCTGTCATCGTAGCGCCGGTAGTACTGAGCAGAGACCGGGTCGCTCTCAAACATCGGGTTGAACTTTGTGGCTCGCTCCAAAGTTGGAAGGCTTTCATGCCGTCTAAAACGTCACAAGATAAAATGTTTTATTTTCACGTGAAACTAAATTTACTCCTGAAACTCAAAGATTCGTCCAACCTGAGTGGATCCTCTGTGTCTTCACCATCGTACTGCTCTCGGAGCGTTCTGGCCAGGAAGAAGATGATTCCTCCAGCCACCAAGAGGAAGCCGACCACCGAGGCGATGGCGATGCCGACCACCAGCGGCTCAGAGACGTACTCCTCACAGTGCTCACCGCGGTACCACCAGTTCTCCCCAACACGACACCTGCAGCAACCAACCCCGGGTCAACCTCACCAAACCCCTCATAAAGCTAAATACTCACCAATATGCACATGATACAATATTTTATTTCACATTTAATATTAATACTTTAATGCAAATATTCACTTGTACGCAGATGGTGTGATGTTTTATTGAACTGTTGATAGAGAGGCTAAATTCAGTTTCATCCTATTTCAGTCAAATTACAATTACAGTAATTATCATAATATATAGAAAATACTAAACAAGAAGAAGACAGATAATGGTGTTTAAATTGTCAAGAACATAATTCAGAATTCAATAAAATGTTGAAAATGTAACAAAATTAATTAATTAGTTGGTTAATTAATTAATGAAGGTTAATTCACTTTTTACAGAATACCAATCAATCCTTTGGTCTCCCCTACCTGCAGATGGCGCCCTTGCCAGGAATGATGTCACATTTGCCGTCGTTGAGGCAGAAGTTGTGCTGAGCATCACAGACGCTCTGACACGGCAGGCCGTCGATGCTCAGATATCCAGGATCACACACGCACTCTGCCTCTCCTGACCACTGGTTCACCATGCACTTGGAAAACTCGTTACAGGCCTGGAACTTGCAGGGATCCGCCCGGTCACCTGCCAGGTGGAGAGGAAAACGCCTCAGAGCCCATGAACCAGATTAAAACAGAAACTCCACCAGAGAAAGAGCCACTCTCTCATCAAAGTCTCTGCAGATTCTTAGACAACTCGGTTTCTTTCCAGGGACCTTGGACTGGTCTGCAAGGATGGGAAGTTGATGCTTCTATGGCAACGTCAATGTGGATTCCCTCTTTCTAATGATGCTGAAGTGCGATCATAGACTTTGGTCGGTGCTTATGGCGTGACCCCAGCCAGCCCTGCAGCCTCTAAGTGACCTGGCAGGTTTAGCTTGTGCTTGTGCAATGGAAAACGTGTCTGCAGCGAAGATGAGAGGAGTAAACTGATTATCCAGAGTTCAGACCCCAGTGAGTCACTGTTGTAGCTTAGCTTGATTAGTCAGTGAGGAGCTCCTAACAATGGCTCAGACAGATTAAAGTGCAGTCGCAACGCAGAAACAATGAGTTATTTACTCTTCTCCCATCAGGGGCGGAAAACCCAGCAGGGGTCTCTCAGTAAACCCACAGAAAACCCAGCAGCAGGTCATCAGTACTTCCAGATCTCCTAAACTCAGATCTTAGGAGTTAATTTGTTCAAAGATCCATCCAGTGACCTTTCAGACTAAACTGGTTCCTGTAGAGTTTTCTGGTTCTGATACAACAAGACATTTTAAAAGCATCCAATAAACCCATTGGTTTGAAGAAGTCATTTTTGAAGTGCAAGAAACGTTTGTTCCAACATGATAAAAGGACATTATACGGATTAAACCCGGTAAACAACTTTACCTTTTAAAGACTAATAGAGGAGGAAAACACCTGGTGTTCAGGCAGACGGAGACAAACAAACATGATGTTGATACTGCAGTCTGTGCCACTGCTCACGTTCCTCCCAGACGGATTATCTGAGGTATTAGATCAAATCCTAAGAGGTGAAAGGGCAACTGAGACGCTGCAGCTCTGCACAAACAGGCTGAAAACCAACCAGGCGTAAGAAGAGCCAATGGTTTCCTTCTCCTCTCGCCTCACCGTCCCTCATTTTATGATGAGGTTAGATTTAAGGGAAACCCTGTTACTCCTCTGGACTCGTCCAGGTTGGGTTGGGTCTCACCTGACTCAACATCCAGTGAGTACTTGTCGATGGCCAGGTTCATGGTGTGGTAGGCCGTGTTGGCAAAGTCCTCCAGAATCAGGTAGATGATGTTGGTGACCTCTTTGGGAACCGGTTTGCCAAAACGCATTCTGCTGTTTACAACAATGCTGCCGTTTCTGAAGTTCAGGATCTCCAGGTTCTGGAAGTTGTTCAGATTGGACTGGAGGTACGGGACCAGCTACAAAGAAAGACAGAAAGGTTACCAGAGGATCCTTAATGGAACCTATTTAATGGAATCTGGTTCTTTGAGATTCTCACCAGCTGGATGAACTGTTGTTCTAGGGACTTGTACTCTGAGGAGCTTTTGTTGAAGAGGTTCCTGGAGAACGCCATGTTGGTGACCCTCAAGCTGAAGAACACGGTCAGAGCTCTGCCCGGCCGGCCCGGCAAAGGAAAAGCTTCCAGGTCTGAACCTCGAGCTTCACTGGAGAAGTCACTGCTGTCACCATCAGCTTCCCCAGAGCCGTACTGGAACAGGTCGAAGCTCACATCAATACTCGGCAAGTCGGAGAAGTCATAGTCGAGGTTGATGACAGAAGAGCTGTGGTTAACGTTGGGTTGTGAGGAAGACGGTGTTGGAAGCAGAGCGGTGACTTCTTCTCTGGAAGGTTCTGTTTCCACTTTCCCATGTGAAGGAGCCACTTCCTTTCCAAAATGTTCTCCTTCCTCCTCTGTTTTTACTTCTCCAGAAGAATCTACTTTTATTTCTGAAGGCTCAAGTTCCCGTAAAGATTCTTCCTCTTTCTGTTCTTCAGCAGGTTCAGATTTGCCTCCTAAAGGCTCTTCTTCAGGTCTGGAGGTCTCCAGTTCCTGTCCTGAAAGTTGCACTTCCACACTTTGTCCTTTGGGAGGGTCGGGCTCTTCTTCAGCTCCCAATGTTTGTTCTGCCTGTGATGTAGACTCTACATCCTCCACAGGAGTTTGCTTTTCTCCACCTGAAGCTTCACTCTTCACTGTCACAGTTTCAGTTTCTGAGGATTCTCCTTTGCTTTCAACTCCATGAGGTTTGACTCTGGCATTGTCCAGAGGGTCAGCTTTGTCTTCATGTTTAACAGGCCATTCTTCCTCAATTCCCTCAGAAGGTTCTTCTGTGATTGTAGGAGTTCCTGCTTCCTCTCCTGGACGTTCGGTTGTCTTCATGTGTTGCTCTGAAGCTCCCAGCGTTTTCTGTCCAGAATCAGTTGGAGTCGTTTCTGCTGGTGTCGACTGAAAAACGTCTGAAGAACTGGAGCTGGTGGAAACATCAGTGACCTCGTCGTGGTGAAAGAGATCCTCATCTTCTGGCACTGAGTCAGAGACTCGAGTGAACGGCGACTCCTTTTCAGGGGAGAGAGCGCCGCTGTGGTCCGAGGCTGGGGGTAACGATGGGACCGGAGAGGCTGTGGTTGTAGTGACCACAATGACTTCATCCACAGCCAGGTCCTGGTCCAGACCTTCAGGTGAGGGTGCTGTCGGGGTGGTTCCTAAATGCTGCTCCTCCAAAATCTCAACCCGACTGGGTGCTCTTGTTTCTGGGAGGGGCGGCTCAGATTTGACCTCAGGCTGTTCTGGACCACCAGCAGCTGTTTCAGCCACTGTGACCGCCTGCACTTCAACAAATGTAGGTAGGTCCAGAGTTAGAGGAGCTTCAGTCCGGGTTTTTGGTAAATCAAGCACAATGACCTCTTCACCTTTCATGTCTGAGACAGTGACCCCCAAAAGCTCTTCCTCCATGTTTCCAGTGGCCTCTGGGCGCCTGATGCCAGAATCAGCTGGAGTCCAGGTCTTAGGGTCAGGAGAGGGCGTAACAGGAACTGTTCGGGTCTGAGGCTCAACCAGAGAGTAGTCATCATGGAAACCAGATGCTTCCACCGTTTGAACAGAAAGGTCAACAGTCATGGCTGCCTCAGTTGAAGGTGTGGTGAAGTCTGATGTGTCTGTGCTCAGTGGCGTCACAGAGACCAGAGGTTTCTGGGTACCATCAGACGTGGCGGTTCCCACCAGTAAAACATCAGCCGCTTTAGAGGTTGCTGGTTCCACAGCAGCAGCATCCGTGTCCATCTCCAGGTCAGGTGGTGGTAGGACTTCATGGCTGTCAGAAGTGATGTCAGACGTTTCTGAAGCCTCCCAAGACCAGAGATAAGAATCCTGATCATCTCCAGAGAAACCAGAGCCAGATCCATGATCAAATGTGGCCTCAGAGGGTTTTGGAGGTGAGGTGACTGCTGAACCTTCAGGAACGACCGTCTGGTCGTCCACCTGGTGGTCATCCACCTGGTGATCATCCACCTGGTGATCATCCACAGCGCTGGGAGGCGTAGTGAGGAGGAATCCCTCACCTTCAATGTTTCCACCATCTGTGAAGCAAATGAACTCATTAACTGACTGATCTGATCCAGGACAACAGAAAAGGTTTTACAGACGGAGACGTTTCTTACCGTCTTTAGTTACTGGCTCCAGGTCAACTGTCTTTTGGACTTTAACGGTCTGTGGAGGTGTTGTACTTTCATCGAATAAGAAGACGTCGTTTTCACTCACTTCCTCACTGTGTGGACCTTTCCACTGGTCCCTGGTATCAAACAGGAAGTCCTCCTTTTTCAGGAAAACCTGGCTGGTGTCTGGCTCATGGATCGGCGCATCAGGAGGTTTCTCTGCAGCCAGTATGTTATCCTGAAAACAAGGAGCCATCGTTCAGCCTCTACTCATTTAAATCTGTCAAGTTTAGAGTTTAGTTGAATTTGTCTCACCATGTTGTTGTAAGCTTCATCCGATTCACTTGTAGGTTTCACAGGAGGAACGTTCCCTGCTTCAAATACAAAAACACTTCAGTGAAACAGTCAATATTTCTTTAATATGTTCATTAAAGTCAAGTTAAGATTGATTTTATAGCACATTTCATCAACAAGGCTGTTCTAAATGCTTTACACCATGAAAACATCACTTATAAAACAAACAATAAACATTAGATTTTCAGATCTGGGGCCTGATCACCAGATTCTAAAGACCAAACAAGCAGAGGTACCGTTTTCCAGGCTGTCCAGGCTGTCCAGGCTGCCGTTGTTCAGGACGTTGTCTTTGTGCAGAGCTTCGGTGATGTAGTTACGGAAATCAGTGATTGTGTAGATGACGGTGGGCTGCTCAGCAGAGCCAACGTAGCTGCGCTCCACCTGATTATTCTGCAGAGTGATGAAGTCCAACGTGTCGCTGGAGATCCCACCGCTGTCCACCTCCAGGTCCAGAGTGATGGAGTAGTGGACCTGCACCACCAGACCCCTGATAGGACCAGAACACAGAGGAACAGCTCAGTCAGCATTCAGGTACAAACACCATCCAATCATCAAGGAAACGACAACAACATCTGAAGAAACAATTTATTTTTAGACAGTAAATTAGTGCAAAAGTTGCTCTGTATGTGTTTGACTGGATCTGGTTGTTGTCTGATTATTACATTCAACCTGTTTATCTCGTCTGTTAGTTCATGCTGACGCTGAGGAACGGCTGAACCTGGTGACCTGCTGGATGGTCTGTGGAGTCTGGGCCGGTCTGACGGAGCGGTGAGAGTAGAGTTGGTCATAAAGCTTTAAGGTAATCCTGTAACGGCTGCAGTGGCCGCCGAGCGTCTTATCCCACTTAAGACCTGATTGACTATCAATAAGGACATTAAGCAGACAGCGGAGCGACAGACCTGTTGTTCAGTGCAACAGGTGAGCAAAGACCTGATCCAGAGGACCAGGCTGCCCATCAACAGAACCAACTTGCTGTGAACTCCAGTGGATCAGCCTTTTTAAATCTTACATTATCTCAGGTTATTGAGGCTTTTCTATATTTCAGTTTCCCGTCGGCCTGAAGCTCCTCTGCAGCAGGTTTACACCTCCACAGCCAGCTGGAGGGGCATTAATCAGTGTTCCTGCCAGAAAGGGGCCAGGGGTTAAGTCACCCATAAAGCCTGACAAGACGTCAGGGTAGACGCCAGCTAATCCTTCAGCAGAAGTGAAAACACACGTCCCAGAGCTCCAGAAGTTGTGGAGAGGAGGCAGCAGGGCTACAGGTTATGGATTAGCCCAGCTGCACAGAGCCCTAATGAAGCAATGTTTGGGAGGCCAAGACAGAATGAGGACAAACTTACCGCTGCAGGTCCTTCTGAGGCCTGAAAACACAAACCAAACCAGAAATGAGCCGACAAAACCAGGAAAAACGTGAACATTCAAAATGACAGAGAAACTGAGCTTTTTGTCCAGCTTGCTTTTAAATCCAAAGTTTACTACTTATAAATGACAGTTCCTGAGGTCAGCTGTAATCTAAGTCAATTAAACAGTACCTGAATTCAATTATGTCAAGGCTCTTGAAGCCTGGCAGCCTGTCGAAGGCGACTTCAACCTGTCAGAGGAAACACAAGTTAAATCCTGCTGCAGTTCGGACCAGAACAACCAGAGGAGGTTCGTTACTCCAGAACCGCTCATCTATAAAGGTCATGGTCATCACTTACTGGTCCACTCTGATTTTAAAGCTTTTTGTCATTGTTCAAAGGTCATCATTCAAACTCAAACTGATGCGGATGGAAGGTGAAACATGTTCAGGAACCAGGAAATGTTCTGTTCATTCCCTTCCAGGATGTTTGTCTCAGCACATCTGGACCGTTTGGGGTCATTCAAAGAGCCACAACAGAAGAGCCTCAGTGGAGGAAGGAAAGCTAAAGGTCTTCCTAATAAAGACCGACACTCGAGTTTTTAATGAGTGAAATCTGCAGCTCAGACCTTTCAAACAGAGTATAGTGGCCTGTGGCTGCCCTTTTCTTCTTCTGCTGATTCTATTAGTGCAGTTATCCACTTCATATTCCCTCATTAAAGATCCTGACCATGACATTCAAACCATAAACTGCTTTCCCGCGTCACTAACATGGAGCGAGGCCCATAAACCTCCCAGTGGAGCGGGAACACACCGGCGCTGCGCTCTGCTTTCCTGGCAGCGCAGCTTTTTCCAGCGGCTCGAGGTGAGTCACTGCTCGTATACTGTATGTTCTCCGCAGCCTCCGCGGCTCGTATAGCTGCTCTCTGGCAGCCGCAGCAAGCTGAGCTGTAATGCATAAAGATACTTAAAGCGTGAAAGTCAGGCGAGGCCTTTAAACCGGAGCCAAAGTCCTGAGTCTGCAGTTTGGAAGAAACCACAGGCAAATCAGTTTGGTTCTGAGTGAGTGTTGTGGACGTCAGAGAGGGAAAGAGACTCAAAACAAGAAGATGGTAACAACACAGAATCATTTTCAGTGGTGCTGATGAAACCATGAGGAGAAACTGAGCTGAGGGGCAGGAAGACGGAACTGCTGCTCAGAAACACCTTTCTGAAAAAGACCTGCATAAGTTAGCTTTCAGTGGGTTCATTGACCTTTGACCCTTACACCTCTGTATAGACTGGACAGACACACCCTGCGTTTGAACTGCTTGGCCAGCTGCTGGTACTGGAAGCTGCTGGGGTCTCTCAGAGCGTTGCTGTAGGTTTCTCCCTTCAGTTTGATCCGCTGCTCCACCACGTACTCCTTCAGGGGTCGCAGGGGTCGCAGCAGCGTGTCGTCTATCTCGTTACCAATCTGACAACACAAAATATACCCAGAGGATGATCTGATGATGGAGTCAACACTTAAACATTGTGAAATGTTCTACCTCTGCTTACCGAGTTATCGTCCTCTTCCACCTCCACAAAGTCATTGTTCCCCAAAAAGATGTCTTGTTCTACGTAGGGTCGGACTGCTACATCTGGAAAGTTTCCATTGTTGGTTTCCACTACGTACTTAGGAGAGTGTGTTGTAGACCGAATGGTTGCCTCCTCGGGGGTCCCACTGTTGAGGTTCCTAGTGGAGTTTCCTCTGCTACATCTGGAGCTCTGTTAGCTGGTGGGAGAACCATTAGGGTACCGTTCTCTCTTGGTAAAACCTTTTCCTCAGAGGGACGTTTCTCAGGGACAACAGTTTCTCTTGTTTCCTCAGGGATGATAGTGTCTACTGTTTCTTCAGGGAGGACAGTCTCAGTTGTTTCCTCAGGGAGGACAGTCTCGGTTGTTTCCTCAGGGAGGACAGTCTCAGTTGTTTCCTCAGGGACGATAGTGTCCACTGTTTCCTCAGGGAGGACAGTCTCAGTTGTTTCCTCAGGGAGGACAGTCTCAGTTGTTTCCTCAGGTACGACAGTCTCAGTTGTTTCCTCAGGACGATAGTGTCCACTGTTTCCTCAGGGAGGACAGTCTCGGTTGTTTCCTCAGGGACGACAGTCTCGGTTGTTTCCTCAGAGGGACGTTTCTCAGGGACGACAGTTTCTCTTGTTTCCTCAGAGATGATAGTGTCCACTGTTTCCTCAGGGAGGACAGTCTCGGTTGTTTCCTCAGAGGGACGTTTCTCAGGGACGACAGTTTCTCTTGTTTCCTCAGAGATGATAGTGTCTACTGTTTCTTCAGGGAGGACAGTCTCGATTGTTTCTTCGGGGACAACCGTCTCGGTTGTTTCCTCGGGGACAACCGTCTCGGTTGCTTCCTCAGGGACAACAGTCTCAGTTGTTTCCTCAGGGACGATAGTGTCCACTGTTTCCTCAGGGAGGACAGTCTCAGTTGTTTCCTCAGGGAGGACAGTCTTGGTTGTTTCCTCAGGTACGACAGTCTCAGTTGTTTCCTCAGGGACGATAGTGTCCACTGTTTCCTCAGGGAGGACAGTCTCGGTTGTTCGTCAGGGACGACGGTCTCGGTTGTTTCCTCAGGGACGACAGTCTCCACTGTTTCCTCAGGAACGACAGTCTCCACTGTTTCCTCAGGGACGACGGTCTCGGTTGTTTCCTCAGGGACGACAGTCTCCACTGTTTCCTCAGGAACGACAGTCTCCACTGTTTCCTCAGGGACGACAGTCTCGGTTGTTTCCTCAGGGAGGACGGTCTCGGTTGTTTCCTCAGGGACGACAGTCTCCACTGTTTCCTCAGGGACGACAGTCTCGGTTGTTTCCTCAGGGACGACAGTCCACTGTTTCCTCAGGGACGACAGTCTCCACTGTTTCCTCAGGGACGACAGTCTCCACTGTTTCCTCAAGGACGACAGTCTCGGTTGTTTCCTCAGGGAGGACGGTCTCGGTTGTTTCCTCAGGGATGACAGTCTGGACAGTTTCCTCAGAAGGAGGCTTGATGGACCCTTTTTCTGATATTGTCACTAAAAGGGCTTTGGTCACAACTTCTGCAGGTGTTTCACTGGGTTTCTCAGCTTCAGGAACATTTTCAGTCACTTTGATCGCAGGTTCAACCTCATGTGAAGGAGTTTCTTTGATGGTTTTGCCTTCAGAACCATATGGAGATCCAGTTACTATGTCTTGTCCAATAGTTCCCTCCAACTCAGTCACAGGTAACTCTTCTGAGTCTTCCGGGCCTTCAGTGGTTACAGTAATCACTTCTTTTTCAGGCGTCTGTGGTACTAACAAGTCCTCTGGAGCATCTGTTGTTCCTTCGGCTACTTTATCTGATGTATCAGAGGTTCTGTCGTCTCCGACCTTAAATGGTTTCCCTGTTGCATCTGAAGATGTTGGAGGAACACCAGCTTCATCGGGTTTTAAATGAGGTTCAGTCTCTTCAAGTCCTTCTGTAGGTTCCATTTTACCAGAAGGTTCTCCTGCAGGTTCACCTGGTGCTGGTTGTCTTTTAAGTTCTGCTATTGTTTCAGGCTCTTTGGGGAATTCTGTTTCTGCTACAGATTCCCTGGGGACTTCCTCTCCCGGTTTTGGGTCTTTAGCTGGTTCTGATTCTTGTGGTGGTTCTCTGGTAGGTTCTTCCTTGTATCCTGTTTCCATTGGAGGTTCCAATTCTGCAGTTGGTTCTCCAGTAGGTTTTGCTGGTGGTTCTTTTACTGCCTCTTCAGAGGTATCAGTTGTTTCTGGCACTAATGCTGGCCATTCAGTGGTTGCTGGAGTTTCTTTGACTCCTTGTTCAAGTTTTGTTTTGTGTAGATGTTCTTCATCAGTTTCTACTTTGGGGCCTGGTTCTCTTGTAGGTTCTGTTTTAGTTGGTTCCTCTGTGTGGTCAATTTCTTGAGCTGGGTCAATGGTTAATTTGGCTTCTTGTGTTGTTTCTTTTATGAGTTCAACCGCTGGAGCTGATTTTTCTATGTGTAAAGAATCTTGTGTCGGTTTCTCAAATGCTCTGGGTGGTTCTTCCACAGCCTTTGCTTCTGGAGCGGGTTCTTTGGTGGGTTCTGCTCCTTTTCCTGTCTCTGTGGAGGAGACTGTTGTCTGTTCTGGATCTCTTGTGGGTTGAGGTCTTTCATCTTTGGTTGATTCTGTGGGTTCAATGATTGGTTCTCTTTCTTGAGCTGATTCTTTAATTTGTTTGGGTTCTTGGCCTGGTTTCTGTGTTGACTCAGGTTCTTGCACTGGTTCTTGTTTCAGTTTTACGTCTGGATCTTCTTCTTCTTTGTCTTGATCGATGATGGAATCTATTTCTTGTGAAGGCTCTATGGTAAATTCTGGAACCAGTGATGGTTCAGGGGACTTAGCTTCAACAGTTTTTTCTATGGTTGCAGTTTCTTCAGCTGGTTTGGGTTCTTGTGGTTTAGTGGTTGGTTCTGGTCCTTGTGTTGATTCTCCCAAGGGATTTACTTCTTGGGCTGGTTCAACAGAGTCTTCAGGTTCCTTTTCTAGATCTCCAGCAGCTTCTGTCTTTTCTTCCGCTTCCTTTATTGGTTCTATGACCATATCTGGAGATGGTTCTACTGTGGGTTGCGGAAACTGTTCTGGTTGAACTGTGGGTTCTGTTGCTTTTGCTTCCACTGTGTCTGTGATTTCCATTTCTGGAGTTGGCTCTGTCTGTGCTGGTGGTTTTGTGGTTGGTTCTGCTTTCTGTTTTGTCCCTAATGTGGAACTTATTTCTTGGACTGCTCCCCTGGTGGCCTCAGGTTCTGGTGCTGGATCTCTGGTAGGGTCTGTTCTTTGTTCTTTGGCTACTTTCTGTCCAGTTGATGGTATTTCTGTAATTTCGCGTGTGAAAGTCAACTCTCTTTCAGGTTCTGCTCTCTCAAGAGTATCTAACTTGAGTTGCAGGTCATGTGCCGGTCTCTCAACCATCCTGTCTTCTGCAGGTTCTATGTCATCTCCTGGTTCGGTTTTATCTTCTGCTGTTTTTTCTACTATTTCTGGTTCCTTTGAAACAGTTCCTGGAGGTTCTCCTGCCTGTACTGTTTCTCCTGCAGGTTCTGGTTCATGTGCAGTTTCCTCTCTTGGTGCTGGTTCTTCTATAATGTCATGTTCACCTTGTTCTTTGGGTTCTGCAGATGTTTTAGGTTCAACAGATCCTCCAGTAGCTTCCGTCACTGGTTCCTCGTCAATGAACTTCTTGTCCAATGGTTCCAGCTGCTCTTCTGATGGATCTGTTCCCTGAATAGTGGTTTCTTCTGTCTGAAAACTTTCTTTTTTAGCACTAGCCTCTGTTTCCCCTTCCAACATATTATCTTCTGTAAGTATAACTGTTCTTTCATGTTTTGTTTCCACCTCTATCACATACTCTGGCGTTGATGTCAAAACAATAACACTTTCTTTGGTAGTTTCCTCAGGTGTCATTGTCTGTATTGTTCCCATTTCTTGAACAGTGTTTCCTTCTACCATAAGTAGAGGTTTGATTGTCATCTCAGTAGTTTGTCTTATTTCATCCATCTTTCTGGTAGTCCTCAGGATGGAGGCCTGAGAGGGAACGGCTCTATCTGATTCTTGCTCTGGAATCTTGTTGATTTCCGTCTCGTCTTCAGACTCTACCATCAGAAACACAGTTGGTGTTGTTTCTTCTCTGATCTCTTCTTGGCTAACATCTATTGCTGCCTCTGATGGATCATCTACCTGTGGCGTTTTCGCCTCACCTTCAGAACCTAAAGAAACATCAGTCTCAGGCGCAACAACTACAGTTTCAACAATGGGTTCCTGTACAGGCTCTCTAGGTGTCTCAGTCAAAGTAACACCAGGGCTGGGATCTAAAGAGTTATCCAGGATTTCCTCCTGGATGGGGCTAACTAAACTCCAAGCAGTTGTTTCAGGTGTGTCTTCAACAACAACAGGAGTGAAAACTGGAGTGAAGGCTTCGACAGTAGGGGGCGTGGTGGGCTTTGGAAGAACCACAACTGCAGGTTCTGTGAGGATTTCTTGAGCAACCAGCTGGGCTGATGGTTCCTCATCCTCTGGTATTACTACAGACACACTGTTCAACTCTTCAGTAGTAGTTTCAAGAAGCTGTTCTTCTACTCTGCCAACATCAGTCCCAATTTCCTGACCCATCGGGTCAAAAGGCTTGTGCGTAACCGGGTGATAAACATCTGTGATCATCTCTACAGTCTCCTCTGAAGTGACTCCAACATTTAGAACGTTTCTGACGACCTCAGCTGAACTCTGTGAAGTAATAATCGGTACAGTTTCCAGGATATCATTAGAGTCTTCTGGCCTGGCGTCAGCAGCAGGGTCAGCGGTTAAATCCACAGGAGAAGTCACTGCAGCCTCTTTAAGCGGAGCTTCGGTTGCAGACAGTGATGGAGTCCAAGAGGTGACTGGAGAAAGCTCCTGCTGACGGACTGTAATAGCTTCTGATCCAAAGACGACACTGTTGTCTCCTGTGAAAAGGAATTAGTGGAAGCTCATATGAAGGTTAGAACAAAAGAGCAAAGGAATATCTGCTGCTAGGTAGGGGGCGCTACCATGTTCTTTAGTCAATTTCATGCATTACATCTCTTCAATGGTTCAAACAAAACCTGCAATAACCTTAAAATAAGGATTTGCTGGACTTCATGAAGGGTTAAAGTTCACTGTTTGACTTTTGTGTATTGAATGAAGCCAATGAGGCTTTCTGTTCTCTAAGCTTCACAGGACAACAGTGAAAGTTGCTCTCAAACAACCTGAAGGTTGAGCTGAATGTCGGGTTTGGTGAAACGGTTCTGAAGTCATTATTCTGCAGCAGGTCTGGTACTTCCTGGTTTGAATGTGTAACCTGGAAACGCAGCCAGCCTGGTGATGCTGCCTCTACAGGTTGCGATAGCCTGTAGCTAACCCTGATAGCTAACTCAGTCCGCTCTGCATGTCCCGCTCCGTCTCCGTCCATTGCCCAGGCTGCTGCCCGTAAATAGGCTTACAGGTCTATTCTGAGAGCGGAGCCTGTGACGGGAATCAACCCCCCTCACAGACACACACTGGGGTGTAAGGTGAGGCACGGCAGCTCCAGACTCTCCAACCTGGGCTGAACACCAGGCCTCATGCTGAGCAACTTCTGCTCCAACCTGCAGGGGCAGGTAACTAATCCCCATGTTCCTCCAGGGCATCCATAGAGAAGAATATTTCTACTGAAACTCTTTAACTTTGGTTTGAAGGTTTCTGCAGCCTGATTATGGCTAATGTTCAGGAGCTGCTTGGAAATGAGAACTGGTGAATAATCTCATCTCTACTTCAGGGACAATATTATCATCGAGCCAAACAGTAGGAGCAACGCAACACACACAAACTGCTTTCATTCACTGACGTTTAGATTTCATTTCTCAGTGAGTTCAGAGTAAACTAACATGGCCGACAAAGAGGAAGCAATGGTTGCAGTTTGTGGTTATTTTGAACAAAGAAAAAAACAATATTAAAAGATGTCTACCAAACTTTCTGGTGCAGCACTGCAGTTCTTTGTTGCTGTCAGACTAGCTAAATGTCTCTTCCATCAGGGTGTCAAAGTTCTGCATCATCCTGACAATACGATGATGCAGGCTCCGCACCATAAGTGCTGAGTGAAAGTCTGGCTAGTTGGCTGGTTTAGGGAAAGTCTGTTCTTCTGGTTCTGTAGGTTCTGGTTTATGACAATGGTTGAGAGGCAAAGCAGCTTCTACCTGGTAGAGTCCAAACGGCGGGTGGTTCAGTCTGGACAGGCGGTGCCGATCTGCAGGACAAACAGACACGTTTCAATAAACCAGAGATAAAACAAGGAGATTCAATCTGCAAAGGGGGATGTCAACTATTTCACATCTTCTGATTCTTTGCTTTGAAGCAAATCCAGAACATGTGTTTATTTTCTGTTCTTTGTTTCTGAATCAGAAACTAAAACCTCAGTTTATGGTATAGCTGCTCATGCTCATGTAATGCAAGCCATTAAAATAGTTGGAATTCCCCTTTAAATGATTCTAAGTGCAGCCATGTTTGCACAGCAGACTGCAGAAAGCGCCTCTCACACAGCCAGTCCTCCAGACGAGGCGTCTCTGGTCTATGAGCGGGAAAAGCAGCAAAGCTGAGTTAGTCTGGGCTGAAGTCATTCCACTTCCTCAAATCCTCCTTTAATCTGTCATTTTCCTCTTTCTGCTCCATATTGAAAGAAACCGAGTGTTTATATCAAAGATTCATTTTAAAATATATTTCCATGTAAACACTCAAGTTGTGTTTCAGCCTAATGTCCAAATATTTACTGAAGTCACTTCAGACACAAACAGACACTTCAGGCTTCGCCAGGTTTTCTCCAGGTTCCTTCAACATGTGTTTACTGGACTTCAGATGAAGTCAAAAGTAGAAATGTTCACTGGAGCAGCATCTGTGTGAAAACAGCCTCAGAGACTGCTGACATCTCTGATGCTTAGAGAGATCCAAAGTGGGAACCACCAGGAATCCAGAGCTTGTCCCAGACCTGGCAGACTGGCGTCTTCCTCCAGGTGATCTCAGACCCGTTTCTTCAGGCCTTTAGATAAACTCCTGGTCATTCCAGATGTTTTGGAATTCCAGGCAGAAGCTTGTAGATTCAGTGGTTTAGTTTGAAGCTTGATTTGGGTCTTTCTCAGCTAGCCTGACCTTCCTGTTCAGAATGACTCCAGCCCTGCTCTGGTTGAGGCCTCCTGCTGGTGGAGCCTACCTGCATGGAGGAGAGCCTGAGGAGACGTGCGCACTGCAGCCGGTGAGGAGGCAACACGGATCAACACGGGTCAACACGGGTCAACACAAACACAACACAATCAGCTTCACAGTGATTCTCATCAAACCACCCGTCTCTTCTCAGATCCACCGGAACCGGGTCAGAAAGTTTACTGACCTGTTCAAGGCAGCAGCCAGGGCAACTCTCTGAAATAAAGCATCACATCATTAGCACTGCGGCATATTTAATGGTACAGAATATCCAGAAGGTCAAAGGTGAGATGACTTACACTCCTGATGAGGCTCTGATGCTCCTCTGATTGGCTGAAGAAGCTGCCGATGTCCTTGATGCTGACCGATCCGTCAATGCAGCGGTTGACCCAGGCCTGGTACTCGTCCCGGTCCGGGAGTCGGTCCCAGAAGATCTTGAAGGCCTCCCACACGGTCTCCTGGCACACTGAAGCACAACGTTCCCGTAACTACCTTGGTAACCAGCAACGGCGCAGCCTGCTGGTACTGGACGATAACAGCATGTTTCTGAGGTCTCAAAGGTTAAAGAAACTCTAATCTGAGTCTTTCTGGACTCGTAATCCATTGATTCTGAGACAAACAACGTGGTGACCCTTTACCCAACTGGCCAGACTGATCTGGCTCAATCCAGCAAACTAACAGCTAAAATTAGACGTTAACAATCAGATCTGGAGAAAAGGTTGGCCAACATGAGCTGAGCTGCTCATGTTGGTCAACATAGAGGAAGAAACCTGGAGGCTGCGGTTGAACTCCTGACATCTCAGAGACATTATCTGTCCACCGTTTATAACCAGAGTCTACTGCAGGATCATCATGACCCAATAATCTGATCTGGTGCCTCCATCCAGCTGGTTCTGGACCTTATATCAGCCATACTGGATTAAAAGCTGCAGTTCTCTCTCTGTACTGTCAAACAAACCAAACTAATTGAAAAACCTGCCACTGGTTCATCGTCTTCACACCTGGTTCTCCTTCAGAACCCTGCCAGTTGGTTACACCCTCATTGAAGACTTTTCTACCAGATCAGGATGAAGACGGTTTGGTTGAGTCGTTTCTTCAAGGCCAAATGAAGGACTGAGACAACCTGGTGTTGGTCAGAGCTGTGAGACCCACGGCTTTCTGGGATCGGACCGTGTTGAATCCCTTCACTCCAACTGTCAAATGTCTCTCATAACCAAAAGTTAACCAGCTCTTTAATAGGGTTATGTGAAGCATCTGCTCAGAGCGACCTCCGACCTCTGACCTCAGGCTCCCTGTTTAAGCCCGTAAGCTGCAGCTGAAAGAGAAACAGACGGTACCTCTGAGGTGGAAGAAGTTGAGGTGGTTGGAGACGGCCTGGTCGAACGTCTCCTGGGAGCAGAGCTTCACTCCGCTGGGAAACAGCAAGCTCCTCTTCCTTCGGATCAGAACCGAGTGCTCTCTGACGGAGAGCGGGTCAGATTCCGCCAGGTCCCGGCTGGGATCTGGATGCAACAGGAAAACAGGAAACATTGACCCGACCTCCAGAATAAAACTGCAGGAAGACGTTCTGACCAGGACGGTTCCTCTGCTTCGGATCAACCAGAACCGAAGACGTTTCTTTCTCTTGTGACAAGAAATAAAACCTTTTCTGTTGATTAAAACCCAGAATGTATCTCAAAGTTGGACCAGCACAGTGCAAAATGTAAAAGGTCCAATAAAAGCAGTAACTGTTTGGTTCTGAAGACCATGAACTGGAAGAAAAACACCAGAACCTTTCATTCATAACATTCAGATTCTGCAGGGAAATTCAACAAGAGTCCTGAAAAGCTGAAGTTTCCTCCCAGAACCTCCAGAACCTCCACTCACCCGTCTCGGTGCACAGCAGCCCAGACAGCAGCACGGCTCCCAGCGTCCACAGAACCACGCTCCTCCGGCCCATTTTCTCCTCCAATCGGGTCGCCGCTGCTCCTCACCTCCACCTGCTCATACCTCCTGTGGATCTCATGGCAGAACAATCAGAACCAGGACGGGTCGGGCGCGTCGTGCAGGACGTGCCGACAGTGGCAGCTTCTTGCTGTCAGGTGAGCAGATGGGACTTTGCTGCTGCTGCGGGAGATTTCTTCCTCTCCACTTTAATCCTATTTGTTAAGCTGCTGAAGTAGATGACTGTCAGAGGCAGCAGGCCCGACGGGTCGGAACCGCCCAGAGGGAGTCCCATCAGTTCCAGAACACTGAAGATGTTTCAGCTTTCTTTTCTGAATGAAGAAAACTGGAACTTTACTCAGGCAAAAACTGATGGTTGAGATGCAGAAACTGATGGTTGAGATGCAGAAACTGATGGTTGAGATGCAGAAACCGATGGTTGAGATGCAGAAACTGAAGGTTGAGATGCAGAAACTGAAGGTTGAGATGCAGAAACCGATGGTTGAGATGCAGAACTGATGGTTGAGATGCAGAAACTGAAGGTTGAGATGCAGAAACCGAAGGTTGAGATGCAGAAACCGATGGTTGAGATGCAGAAACCGATGGTTGAGATGCAGAAACTAATGGTTGAGATGCAGAAACTGATGGTTGAGATGCAGACACCGAAGGTTGAGATGCAGAAACTGATGGTTGAGATGCAGAAACTGATGGTTGAGATGCAAACTGATGGTTGAGATGCAGAAACTGATGGTTGAGATGCAGAAACCGAAGGTTGAGATGCAGAAACTGATGGTTGAGATGCAGAAACTGATGGTTGAGATGCAGAAACTGATGGTTGAGATGCAGAAACTGATGGTTGAGATGCAGAAACTGAAGGTTGAGATGCAGAAACTGAAGGTTGATGCAGAAAACGGAAAATGATTCTGATGACATGAAAAGTTCTGTAAAAACTTGGTGATTCTATAAATTCATCAGTTTTTTTAACCTTTAACCCCAAAACACCAGAAATCAGACATTAACGTGGATAAAGTAATGCCAAGCAGGTCAGAGGTCACACCAATTCCTGTTGATGATCAAGTCTGAAACAAAGTGGCGAGTTTTCTATAATCGGACCCGTCCAGACTGTAATCCCCCCAGAACCGGCCCAACCAGACATCTTTTATTGGATAATGGGATTAAGAGGAAGGAGAGGAGATGAGGAAACAGCAACACAAAGACTGGAGAGATTACATCACAACGGATCGGATCAACCGGAACAAAAGGAGAACCAAAACCGGCCCAGAACTCCACAGAACTTTCTCCCTTCAGACAGAAAGGTCCGGTTCAGTACAGCAGGTCACCTGATCCCCAACAACGATTAACCACCATGGACAAGGTTCTGGACTGGTCCGAAATACCACCAGGACCGGGCCAGAATGCCAAAACCGAACAGAACTCAAAGGCAGGACTTCAGAACCAGAAAAACAAGGTGGATTACAGTCCAAATAGGCAAAAGACCTCCTGTTCTGGTTCAGAACCAGAACCGGAGATGAATGAGAGTCCAACATGGACCAGAACCAAAGTCAAACTAAACCGGTTTCAGATAAAGGAACCAAAGTAAGTCCAGAACCAGGTCCAGATGTTGACTGAAACAGAACCAGGCAAGACCAAAGATGGGACAAATAAGACCGGACCTGAAACCAGAGTCTAGAACGGTTCTGGAACCAGTACTGGTCCTTTAGACTAGAACAGTTCCAGAACCTTAAAGGAACCAGAAACTGGGCCAACTTCAGCCCAGAGAGCCGAACCATAGCAAGCAGAACCTGTCAATGATCCTGATTGGCACCTGGACCCAGTTCTGGTGGTTCCGTGAAGAGATGATCGGCCAGTGAGGTTGTTTTGGTGCCTAAACCCGGTTCAGCCAGCAGAACCCCTCGCTGATCCACTTAGTGAGCTGTAAGCTGATTGGTGCCCAGCGGGGGGCGCTGCGCTGAGCCCTGAGATTAACCAAGCAGCTCCATGATACCAGGGAACCGGATCAGGCTGCAGAACCTGGACCCAGGGAGAGGCACTGGGACCACTTCCAATGATTCTTTCAAAATAAGAGCCTGAGCCAGCAGGATAAATTAGTCTTTATTTTATAAAACAGGAAGTGGACTCATTTACACTCCAGTCAGAACTCGGTGTCCGGGTTCTGTTCACTCAGCTGGGCCCGCTCCAGCCTCAAGAGCAGACTCCGGATCTCGTTACGTTTCTGTCGCACCCGTTGCCGTGGGAACCAGCCCTCTAGTCGCAGCGGCGGGTCAAAGTCGACGACGGGGTTCTAAGGAGCCAATCAGAAGGATCGAAATGTTTTTAAAGATGCAGTTTCACAGCTTCGTGACGATGACATCACTTCCTGTGGGGCGGCCGACCTGCAGGAAGCTCTCGGCGAACTGCAGCAGGTAGACGCCGCAGTCGCTGCCGTTGTCCTGCTGAGGAACGCTGCAGGTGCAGCTCCGCATGGAGGCGGGGGCGAAGAGGCGCGGAGACTTCCTCCGAACCTCCCACTCCACCTGCAGGTAGCTGGAAGGGGTCAAAGGTCAGGGGGTCAGAGACGCCGCAGGCGAGCACAGAGGGGGAGGAACTCACCCTCTGATCAGTCGGCAGACGTCGTCGTGGCTGGAAAGCTTCAGGGAGTCCATGACCAGGATGCACGGCCTGCAGGGAGCAAAACCTGTTATTTCTGGGACAATTTGTTTAAAGTCTCCTCCAATAAGAAAAGATGAAAAATGATTTACTTTAAGATAAAATGAGATCCCAGACATATTTATCAGCAGAGGAAGGAGAGGCTCACCTCTTGGTGACGGTTTTCTTCTGACAGCCCAGAAGGGAGCACTGCAGCCAAACACGGAGCTTCAGCAGAAGAAGATAGCAGCGATGCACCGCTAGCTAAGCTAACGCTAACTGCTAAATACTACATGTTAAAGATACAATGCTACAGGAAAAATACATCGCTGAAAGATGATACGGCAACTACCGGGTCTTAAAAAGCCAACACAAAAATATCAAATTAAATGTTAAATCCTAATAAAAATATATTAGAATAAAACGTCGTAATATTGTGACTTTATTCTGGAAACATTATGAATTTATTCAAATTGCCTAATTCTCATCTTGTTTTTTATAATCCACTGGATAATTCCTGTTCATACGACTCAGCATTTTTAAAATGAACTGGATTACAATAAATTGGACTTAAGCTGATGAGTCAGCAAATTTTAATTATTACCGGTGGCAGCTGGACCTGGGACGCGGTTCTGCTGCAGCCGGTTCGGATCCACCTGCACAAACACCAAACATCTGGACTTGATTCCCAGAACCAGCTGGTTCCATCAGAAACTGATTACTGGGCCCAGCAGGTCCGTTTTACAGACAAACACGCAGCGAGCCAGGTTCATGCCAGGGAACAAGCAGAACTTGTTCTGGTCCACATCTGGTGAACGGTACCTCGTCCTCCACCTCACAGAACCGGGCCAGCCGGGCCAACCACTCACCTGCTCCACTCTGGAACTCCTCGGTCCGAACGGCCTCCAGTCCGGGAAACAGACCACCACCAAGAACCAGTGGGCTCTGAGAGACAGAGCCACAAACGGGTCAGAACCACTGCTGGATGGTTGAACATGGAGCAAACATGAAGCAGAAATTTGTGGAACCAGAACCAGAACCGGGTGGCAAAGGAGCCAAAAACTGGACTTAAAACTAGCATTAATGAAACATATTTTACAGCAAAAGCACTAAAATAATTATTTAATAGTTAAAAATTACAAAACAACATATAAAAAAATTGTAAAAACTAAATTAAAATTATTTTAAAAATGAGAAAAATTTAATTTAGCACAAACTAAAATTTATTAAAAAAAGCAGAAACTGTCCTCATTTTAACTCACGCTTTGTTAACAGGCACAAACAGGAAGTCTTTGGAGAAAATGTCCACGTCCCGCGTCCACGTCTTCACCCTCTGATGCCTCGTGTGATGGTCGCTGTGGAAGCAGCAGAAGAAGAGTCAGTGTGACATCATCTCCACTGGGCGGCGGCGCTGGGCTTACGGGACAGAGGGGGCGTCGCTCTCTCCGGCCGCTCGCCGGCAGCTCAGCTGCTTGTAGAAGAAACTACTGAAGACGTGACTCCTCTGGGCCACCGTACCGCCAACGCCCTCCAGGAGCAAGTACCTGCCGAGAGGGAGACCCCTGCTGGTCACGCACAGCAACTACAACCACAGAGGGAGACCCCTGCTGGTCACACACAGCAACTACAGCCACAGAGGGACCCCTGCTGGTCACATACAGCAACTACAGCCACAGAGGGAGAAGCAGACTGACTTGAGGTAGAAGTCGATGATAACGTCATTCAGGAACTCCCCGGCATCCAGACAGTCCCAGGTCTTCCTGCGTCAGCGTCATCCGACCGATACATGGTACCAGAGGGTACTGGATCAGCCTGCAGACAGAACCTGGTTAACCCAGTATACCTGGACCAGAGCAGGTGACGAACCGGGACTCACCTTGTGGGCTGCTGACCAGCAGGGTTCCTCTGAGCTGCGCTGGACTGACCCGGCTTCTGTCAGGAAACAAAACCAAAAGGCCCAGACTCTGTTTACACTAGAGATGCAAACCTGCAACTAATTATTGATAAATTATTGCTTTATTAAATTAAAACCGGCTCCAATCAATTAATGTCAGCTTAGACCTTCTTTTAGTTTTGTACTAAAAAGCCTTCTTAAGCAGAGAATCTCAAGTAGAGCCAGTTGATATCGAAACAAAGATGGTGGGCCCATGCCAGAACAGGAAAGAGAAATTTTCCAAACAGAGTCAGGTTTGGGAAGAAAAATTCACTTTGAAATACAAACACTCAAAGCTTCATCCTAACAGCTGCATGACGGAGCAGCAACTTCAACCAAAACAATTTATTAGCTTCAAAAACAAGGAAAACATGATGCTGAAAAACTGTAACATGACAGAAGTCTCATGATATGAAAGAACGACCATTTTCTGTTTATTCATTCTGTATTGAATACAGATGATAAAATGTCAACATTTTAAAGTCAACATGTTATGAATAAAGTAGCCCTTTATGTTATGGACAATAAATCGATCAGATCAATCAGGTCAGATGAACTCACAGCAGAGTGTCCCAGCAGGTGCAGCAGGTGCCGGTCCAGTGGAGAGGGGCAGGTGTGGAGCAGCAGCAGGCCCTGGGGCCAGTCGATGGGGGAGGAAGAGGAGCGGTGCTGCTTGTACTCCCCCATGTCCAAGATGGAGGCCAGCAGAGCGGCCTGCAGCTCCGTCAGCTGCTCCTTCAGCATCAGCAGGAGGAAGGAGCATGGCGGCGCTGCACAGAAACAACAGATCATCAACCTTCACCACAATCTGCTACTTCTGGAGCTAAACACAAAACAATTGAGTGTTTTCGCTAACTTCAATGTTGAGCAACTGTAAAACAGAAACCATGTTACTGTAGCATTTAGCATTAGCTTCCACTAAA